CTATATATTTTTAGTTGTCCAATTAATTTCTAATTTTAGTAGAGACGGGGTCTCGCTCTTGCTCAGGCTGGTCTCAAACTCCTGACCTTGAGCGATCCACCCACCTTGGCCTCCCAGAGTGCTAGGATTACAGGCGTAAGCCACCGCGCCCAGCCGACACACTATTCTTAATACTTTACGGGTATGAACTCCTAAGATACGTTAATATATTCATTCTGCTCTACCTAAGATTCACCTCTATCAGTATTAAGAAACACAAACATAAGTGAGGAACATTTACTAGAACATTCTTGTTTCTTCAAATCAAATAGCAGAGTGGCTGTTAAAGTCCTTAAAGAAGAATAATTATCTTTAGATCTTTCCCCTTCAATTGTAACAATTCAATTTCACCAATTTTTGCATCTCCATTCCAAATCATATGGACTCAGTCCATACTTGCTATCTATCGCCAAAACCACTATAGATACTAGGTCATATGTGAGCAAGTATAATTTCTGTGTATCAATTCATTCTAAGCATATTAGACTTATATGCATATTTTAAGTCCATTTTGTCATTAAGCATTTAAAATTACAGGATGCTCCACTGAGTACTTACTGTTTTTCCAGATCTATGACCATCCTATCAATTTCCTCTGTGGAAGGTACATGTGTTCCATGAAGAAGACTATTGGATGTCGGGAAAAACTCTTCTCCACTGAAAGGACAGCAAAATGAACTTATGGCAGCAATACAAGTGCTCCATTTTCAAATCTCGAACTAAACTAACATTCAGAGTGAGAGATAAAATACATTATTATTTACTGTGGGATCCTACTTTAATTTTTTTCTTAAAACAAACAAAAAAAAATCCACAGGCCAAGCACAATGGCTCACATCTGTACTCCCATCACTTTAGGAGTCTGAGGCAGGAAGATCACTTGAGCCCAGGAGTTGAGACCAGCCTGGACAACATAGCGAGACCCCATCTCTACAAAATAAAATAAAAATTAGCCAGGCGTGGTGGTGTGCCTATAGTCCCAGTTACTCAGGAGGCTGAGGTGAGAAGATTGCTTGAGCAAGTTCAAGGAGTTCAAGGCTGCAGTGAGCTATGATTGCACCACTGCAATCCAGCCTGGGCAAGAGCGAGACCCTGTCTCAAAAAAAAAAAAAAAAA